TGGTCACGAATCCACCTACTCCTGGTCAGATGCTGATAGTGACTTCGAGTTCGTGGCCATGGCGCCCCCTAAGCCGGCGGTTCCGTCGAAGGGAGAGGGAGAAGGGAAGGATAAAGAGAGTGCGTATAGAGAAGAATTCTGCCCACGACAGAGTCCTGGTGGCCAGGAGGCGTCTCCCATGTGGAGGCACGAGCTAGCCAGCGCTACGAACACTGAAGGTAGGTTAGGAGAGCCTTTTGTTTATCTGCATGGTGTAGGGGACATTTATACCGTGTGTGGTGTTGTCTTGATATTGATGTGTAGCTATAAATCTTTATCTTTGTGATTCTCATGAGATAAAAGATCATTTATTATGATTTGTTTCTTCAAGTGTAGGTAAGGACATGAGGCCAGGAAGTAAGTCCCAAAAAGCGAGGTTGGACACTTAAATTAGTCTTGGCTTGATTCCCCATTGTTTGGAACAGGAAGCCGTGTAGTTACACAGACGTAGCTCTGGATGCTCTCAGACATAGGTTCGAATCCTCGTCACGGCCCTTGTGGATTTGCTCATTTGTAGCCTTGTAGTCTTATCGAGGTTTCCCTCAGGTGGAAGCTAACGATTGATATTCCCCAGGATGCAGGCTAGAACACTTGCCTAGCCTGGTACCTATTTACTGCTGGGTGAAGAGATGCATCAGGTGCAGCCCGAACGTCTCCATCCTGTCCAGGAATCGAAACTTGGATCTTTCGGTGATGAACCGACCGACATGACCAAGATCAGCAGTTGTCAGACTCAGTCATTCCAAACGTTACAAACTGAGACATTATTCACTAATTATACTCTTGTTTCCAGAATTTAAGAAACTGACATCAGAATTCAGAAAGCAAATTACCCCTCGCACTTGACCGGAAGTATTAAACCTCTTCTGAACGGTTTATTTTTATTCCTTCATTAGCAAACTTAGGTACCCAGCTGTGTGGTGCTGCCCTATTATAGGGGCTACGGAACACTCATCAAGAGCTAGCTGCGAGTTGATCTACTGTCCCCCAGCTCACAGTATGGTTGATCATACGTGGAGTTGGGGAAGAATATTGGGACAAGAGTCAACTGTACTAACCCGCACTAGCATACTCTGGGTAGAACACAAGCATATCTTCCAATATACACGAGTGAATGAAATAGTTACAAAGCTCTAAGACTCCCTTCCCACTTTGGAAAGAAAGTGTATCATGGGTCTCTTCCCGCTTTGGAAACAAACTGTCTCAAGGCTCTCTTCCTACTTTGGAAATAAAGTGTCTCAAGACTCCCTTCCCACTTTGGAAACAAAGTGTCTCAAGACTCCCTTCCCACTTTGGAAACAAAGTGTCTCAAGACTCTCTTCCGCACTTTGGAAACAAAGTGTCTCAAGACTCTCTTCCGCACTTTGGAAACAAAGTGTCTCAAGACTCTCTTCCGCACTTTGGAAACAAAGTGTCTCAAGACTCTCTTCCGCACTTTGGAAACAAAGTGTCTCAAGACTCTCTTCCGCACTTTGGAAACAAAGTGTCTCAAGACTCTCTTCCGCACTTTGGAAACAAAGTGTCTCAAGACTCTCTTCCGCACTTTGGAAACAAAGTGTCTCAAGACTCTCTTCCGCACTTTGGAAACAAAGTGTATCAAGGCTCTCTTGCCACTCTGTAATGGTTCAGGTACTGTTCTTGTGCCGTCGGGTGGTGTGAAAGCGAGGCCAGCCAGTGTGTGTGTGTGCCTATCGACCCTCTTCAAACATAGAATTAGCCGTGTCTGCTGATTTTTTGTTAGTTTGGCCCGGGTCACCTGTTTATAGACCACTAGACCGTGTTTGGTGAGGTGTAAATAGTACATGGAGGCCAGAACCTGCAGCCTGTGATGCAGGTTCTGTACTGCAGCTACATAACCTGTAGAAGAAGGCTTAGTGCCTTCTTTTGGTAATTACTGACTCTCTCTCTCTCTCCCTCTCTCTCCCTTCAAAGTTCCACACTCCTTCCTGCTTGTAAACTGCTTCTCACCTTCGCTGCCATAATCGATACTGGAGAACTGGTGTCATCTGGCCCTCCCTGTGTCTGTTGAGTTCCAGCCGGCCCAAGATACAGGTGCTATTGTTCCCTGGGCGCTCCCTAGACGCGCAGGTTCTCCAAGGCATATATGTACATATATATATACACAGATTTGTGTCATTCAGTTCACCGCAGGTGTTTAGTCCAAGAATACCTGGAGGTGCAGGCACATGTGTAGATCTGAGATGTGGTGACAGGAGTGTATTATGAAGATTGTTCCGAGGTCTGTGTTAGGGGGGAGCCAGGTCTTCTTCCTATGTTTGGGAAAGCCAGGGCCACTACTTTTATTAATACACACCAGGTTCAGTGCCTGGTACCTTACATACCCCACCCCACACACACACACATATATAAGCCAGGTACCACACCCACCACCACCACACACACATACATAACCCCATGTAACATCCCCCCCCCACACACACACACACACACACACACACACACACACACACACACACACACACACACACACACATGCAGGCGATGAGTCACAATAACGTGGCTGAAGTATGTTGACCAGACCACACACTAGAAATTGAAGGGACGACGACGTTTCGGTCCGTCCTGGACCATTCACAATCGACTTGAGAATGGTCCAGGACGGACCGAAACGTCGTCGTCCCTTCAATTTCTAGTGTGTGGTCTGGTCAACACACACACACACACACACACACATACACACACTCACAAACCAGCACCCCCTGCAGGTTCTTACTGGCTTTCCCCCTCACGCCCCTGAGACAAAGGCTAGATGGACACCCGCTTTCCCTGTGGGTACGGAAATGTACTTAGGTAACCTACTGGGAGTCACCTGCATACACCTGGCTACCTAACAGTGACTTCCTCTCAATCACTACCTATCAGGGCTGTCTGCTCGCGCGTGCAGGTACGCACGCGCGCGCGTCTAGGGAATGAATGTATGTATATAGCCACATTACGATATGCAAACCTACATGTGTGGTTATATATGTAGGCTTACATAGGTATGCTGTCATACAGGTAGACATGCAAGCAGATAGGCATATAGGTAGACATGCAAGTAGAAATACAGGCAGGTGTGAAGATGGATATAGACAGATATACAGGTAGGCAGGTGGGGAGCAAAAATTGACAGTCAATCATCCTAACAGCTAGAAAGATAGAAAGTCAATCACTCAGCGAGGCAGTCAACTACTCAGCGAGGCAGTCAATCACTCAGCGAGGCAGTCAACTACTCAGCGAGGCAGTCAATCACTCAGCGAGGCAGTCAACCACTCAGCGAGGCAGTCAACCACTCAGCGAGGCAGTCAACTACTCAGCGAGGCAGTCAATCACTCAGCGAGGCAGTCAACCAGTCAGCGAGGCAGTCAACCACTCAGCGAGGCAGTCAACCACTCAGCGAGGCAGTCAACCAGTCAGCGAGGCAGTCAACCACTCAGCAAGGCAGTCAACTACTCAGCGACGCAGTCAGGAAGATACATATAGACATACAAGCAGAGAGGCAGACAGACAAATAGGATCGCTACCATAACAAGTGTAGATCGAACTCTTATCAATCACCCTGACAGATGGCCTCTGTCATTCTAAGCTAAGTAGACAGAAGCCATCCGTCCAAATGTTCAGTGGACGTATTTTTAGTAGGTGCGCTTCGTGTAAAGTTCAGAGGTAAAGGTCCGAGACGTGAGTCACCTTGAGCAGGTGGGGGGCTGGAACAGGGGGCAATACCTTGCTTGCCCGCTGCGTATGCTGGAACTCTTGCTTGCCCCCTGCGTACGCTGGAACTATTGCTTGCCCGCTGCGTACGCTGGAACTCTTGCTTGCCCGCTGCGTACGCTGGAACTCTTGCTTGCTGCTGCGTATGCTGGAACTATTGCTTGCCGCTGCGTACGCTGGAACTCTTGCTTGCCGCTGCGTACGCTGGAACTCTTGCTTGCCCGCTGCGTACGCTGGAACTCTTGCTTGCCCGCTGCGTACGCTGGAACTCTTGCTTGCCCCCTGCGTACGCTGGAACTATTGCTTGCCCCCTGCGTACGCTGGAACTCTTGCTTGCCCCCTGCGTACGCTGGAACTCTTGCTTGCCCCCTGCGTACGCTGGAACTCTTGCTTGCCCCCTGCGTACGCTGGAACTCTTGCTTGCCCCCTGCGTACGCTGGAACTATTGCTTGCCTCTGCGTATGCTGGAACTGTTGCTTGCCTCTGCGTAAGCTGGAACCCTTGCTTGCCCCTGCGTACGCTAAAAAACCCTTGCTTGCTCCTGCATACGCTGGTTTGATATGCATGGTCGTCTTTGGCGCAGATATAAACCCACATGTTCATATACACGTGGGAATAGACAGAGATACACTGTATCTGTAGTAAGGCTGTGCACGGTTTCCGCCAACTGCGGGCCCCATGGCTGGGTGTGTGGGTCCCGGGGCGGCCATTATTTGACACCCAAAATAAACCAGGGAGAATGTTGCTTGATAATTGGACGAAAGTTAACTGCCTGCCGCTCGCCTCGCAAACCAGAGGTCTTCGAGTTGATTTCCTGAGTGGAGTGGAATGCTTTGATCAAGTGACCTTGCTCTAGTCGTCTCCACGCACACAACAGTGACAGGATCAGAATGTGCAATCGATTAGCTGATCTTATTCCCGGGAAGGAGTGATGTTGGGGTGAGTAGAGACTCACTGGGAGCACGGGCTCACCATAGCCCGTGCTACTTGGAACTTTTTGTTCCAGGTAGCGAATCTTTAACAACAACAACAACATCACTGAGAGGTCATAGAGCATAATATGAACGGAGGAAGGGAATCAGCTCTCCACAGATCTCCAGTATCATCTATTGATACTGGTAATGGTTCAAGAGGGCCACCACTTACGGGCTATTCACGCCCGTGCCCCCTTTTGGGTGGCTTAATCTTCATCAATCAACCTTCGGAATCAGCTCTCACTCTGTACCTCTTTCTCTCAGTGACAGGAAAATATGACTACAAGTATTAGAAGAGAAAGTTAGAAGGACTTCAAAAACAGTAGAGTTGATTGTTCAATAAATCACTCAACTATGTGTTTAACACATCTCTAACACTGTCCATGGAGGGCCGAAAAAAATTATATATGCTGGTTAGCATTGTAAATGTCTCGCCACGTCTGTGGTAGAAAATAATAATTCAAAACCATCAGAGGCCACCAAAGACCATCAGAGACCATCAGAGACCATCAGAGACCACCAGAGACCATCAGAGGCCACCAGAGACCATCAGAGACCACCAGAGACCATCAGAGACCACCAGAGACCACCAGAGACCATCAGAGACCACCAGAGACCATCAGAGGCCACCAAAGACCACCAAAGACCATCAGAGACCACCAGAGACCATCAGAGGCCACCAAAGACCATCAGAGACCACCAGAGACCATCAGAGGCCACCAGAGACCATCAGAGGCCACCAGAGACCATCAGAGACCACCAGAGACCATCAGAGACCACCAGAGACCATCAGAGGCCACCAAAGACCACCAGAGACCATCAGAGGCCACCAGAGACCATCAGAGGCCACCAGAGACCATCAGAGGCCACCAGAGACCATCAGAGGCCACCAGAGACCATCAGAGGCCACCAGAGACCATCAGAGGCCACCAGAGACCATCAGAGGCCACCAGAGGCCACCAGAGGCCACCAAAGACCATCAGAGGCCACCAGAGACCATCAGAGGCCACCAGAGACCATCAGAGGCCACCAGAGACCATCAGAGGCCACAATACAGGCCAAGAAGACCACTATATTCCATTAAAATCTACCCTAAACACCTCGCAGACAGCTGTAGACTACGCTGGATTCGTAGTCCTGTGGATCGGGGTTCGATTCCCGGCTCCCCTGCCGCAGCCAGGGTGGGTGGCACTCCACTAGGGTGAGTGGCACTATGCCTGGAGTGTATTCAGGGGGTTCTGCCCCTCCCCAAGCCTGGGCCTGGCCTTGTTCCTACAGACTCCTGAGTGTAATTAGGATAATATGGTGCCCCGTGTGTGTGTGTGTGTGTCTCCTGTGTGTCGACCACCGCACTCCTGGTGTGCTCCACAACTTTATGTAACCTCGCTCTAGATTTAAGGAACGATCGATGGAGCTAGTGTCGGGTGGTGCCTGGGTGCCGAGGGCCACCTTCCTCCCCCCCCCTCCCTTCGTTCCCCTCCCTTCGTTCCCCTCCCTTCGACCCCTCCCCCCCTACCCTCTCTCTGTCATTATCCCCTCCCTTCTCCCCCTTTACCCTCACCCCCTCTGCCGTCGTCCCCTCTTTTACTTCAGCTCTTCGATCCCTTTACTCGTTCCACTCCTGGTCCCTATTCCACTAATCAGGTGTGACACGGCAGCGTGTGTGTGTGTGTGTGTGGTGTGTGTGTGTGTGTGTGTGTGTGTGTGTGTGTGTGTGTGTGTGTGTGTGTGTGTGTGTGTGTGTGTGTGTGTGTGTGTGTGTGTGTGTAATTACCTAAGTGTAGTTACAGGATGAGAGCTACGCTCGTGGTGTCCCGTCTTCCCAGCACTCTGTCATATAACGCTTTTAAACTACTGACGGTCTTGGCCTCCACCACCTTCTCCCCTAACTTGTTCCAACCGTCTACCACTGTGTGTGTGTGTGTGTGTGTGTGTGTGTGTGTGTGTGTGTGTGTGTGTGTGTGTGTGTGTGTGTGTGTGTGTGTGTGTGTGTGTGTGTGTGTGTGTGTGTGTGATACCGGGTACCTGTTGACCTTTGCGGTCAAGAACCACCTTGTAAGGAACCTGCAGTGTCATTACAGCTGTTCAAATTGACCCCATTAAGTCGCCGCGGCGGAAAAGGCCAAAGACTGCTACATCTTTCCTGAAAAACTTAGCTTCGTCCGGACCGGATTCTTAATGTGTGCTCACAATACCGACACTCAATATTCGACCCTCTTAGGCCCTGGAAAATGACAAGATGGTTAAATGCGTTTAATGCTCAGCCTGAGAGACTTGTTGTTGTTGTTTAAGATTCGCTACTCAGAACAATAAGTTCCAGTAGCACGGGCTATGGTGAGCCCGTAAGTCCTGAGAGACTCTGGCCGGTGATTATATTGACCTTGGGGAGACCTGACCTCTCCCACTGTTGAAGTTGGTGATTCAGTAGGTGATTGTGGCTGGGGTCAAGACCGTAGCTGCCGAGAGTAGAGGATAATGACGGGGAAAGTGTGTGAGAGAGAGAGAGAGAGAGAGAGAGAGAGAGAGAGAGAGAGAGAGAGAGAGAGACACAGACAGACACAGACAGACACAGACAGACACAGACAGACAGACAGACAGACAGACAGACCAGGCAGTACTACAGTGCAGGAAGTATTGAAGGTTGTGTGGGTGTGTTTAGCCTGGTGTCGCTCGCCTCGAGATGGCCTCAAATTCTAGAAGACACTTTCCCCCTTCCAAGTTGTTAATCCCTAATCTCGTCCCCCAATTCTCCCATCCCCCAATCCTCCCGTCCCCCAATTCTCCCATCCCCCAATCCTCCCGTCCCCCAATCCTCCCAGCCCCCAATCCTCCCATCCCCCCGGCACTCATTCCTTATCTTCAACCATCTCCCCGTCTCCCATTCATTCCATATTCCCCTGCCCCATCCACTTGGATTGGACGGTAGAGCGATGGTTTCGCTTCCTGCAGGTCGGCGTTCAATCCCCGACTGTCCCAGTGGCTGGGCACCATTCCTTCCCCCCCCCCCGTCCCTAATCGCTTCTTGTGCAAGACTTCCGCGGCTTCCTTAATTGTTTCTCAGGTAGCTTCAGTAGAAGTCTCCTTTTGGTGGACTCTTAGCCGTTTAGCCAAGCCTCAGGCCGGTCTTGGGGGAGTAGAAGATCTCTCAGAACCCACTCCAGGTACAATCCCGGTCTTGCTCGAGGGAAGAATGTCGGGATGGCCTCACCTGTTGACATTAAAGCCCCCTGGGAACAATCGATAATACACAGCACCGCTCCTGTGCCTGGTAAGTCCACTACGGGCTCACCATAGCCCGTGCTACTTGGAACTTGTTCCCAGTAGCTGAATCTATAACAACAACAACAACAACAATGGATAAGACACTACGTATCTTAACTCCCACAAGCCCCAGGTGTTGCCTGGCCGGCGGCGTCTTGTCACCTCGCGCCCCCAGCACAGTCTCGGCCAAGACCCGCCTGAAGACACCCATGAAATGAAGACAAAAGCTAAAGATTTGTGTGCTGGTTGATACCTGGTTGCTGGTTGATACCTGGTTGATACCTGGTTGATACCTGGTTGATGGGGTTCTGGGAGTTCTTCTACTCCCCAAGCCCGGCCCGAGGCCAGGCTGTGTACTGTGTACTAAGACTCTGTGTACTAACTGGAGTACAAAGTTTACTCTTGTACTCTCTGGCCGAAAGTCGGGCCTCACTTCAGTATTTGAAACAGAATATTACAAGGTGCCTCCTTGCACAATTCCACCAATAAACAGCTGTCGACGGCACATTAATTTACTCTATCCCCGAGAAGTAGCAAAAATCACGTTTGGCAAACACAACATTTTACACGCTGGGAGGTGAAGCCAATAGAGCGGTGATGTAGAGCCCAATAGAGCGGTGAGGTTGAGCCCAATAGAGCGGTGAGGTTGAGCCCATTAGAGGCATGAGCTCTACGGGAACCATCGTGACCAAATATACACTGCCTCGATTACATGGAACATGATCGGTGTTTACGTATGAAATCACTGCAGTTATGTAAACATTGAAAGTCATAGAAACTAACAATTAGTATTTTTGTCTGTAACGGCCCTTGGAACACCACCTGCCAGGGTGGGGAATTACGTCCTCTGACGACCCGGAGGGTGGTTGAGTGTTTAGGCTTGTGAAGCTCCTGTTTTGGTCAAAGGATAGCAGACAGACTAAGCGTGTTCAGTCCATGAGGGATGACAAGTGTCGGTCTTCTAGGGCACAGAATCATATCCTGTTCAGTTTGAGTCTTCCTATTGAGAGAGTTAAACCGATTTTTTTATTTCATTTCAAATGTCCAATGACTAATGGGTGAATATGGATTTCCTAACAGCGACTGTGTGCATCCTAGTGCCCCCAGTCGCTTGCATCCTAGTGCCTCGGTGAGGTTTGAAGCCCAGCGCCTCGGAATCACTTGCATCCCAACGACTTTAAACACCCATTTTGTAGCTAAAATTATTGAAAATGTGCCATACTGACCCCTCACCAAATGTACTTTTCTTTGGTAACGTGTGATATCGCGTGAACACCTCATCCTCTTGACCTGATACTTATGGCACTTATATATGATCAAAGATCTAAAGTATAAAGTATCTGGTCGTTTAGCCTTTTAATAAATATGTATTTTTCATATTTGGTTTTATAGAGGAGGTAGCCATTTTTTTTTAATTATTCATATTTGTGCAAATGATGAGTCACAATAACGTGGCTGAAATATGTTGACCAGACCACAATCGACTTGAGAATGGTCCAGGACGGACCGAAACGTCGTCGTCCCTTCATTTTCGAGTGTGTGGTCTGGTCAACTTATTCACGCTTGTCTTGTATTGTTAGACAAATCTATCTATTAATCCAACAAACTTTGTAAAATCTCTTTATGTATGTACCTTTATGTATGTACCTTACAATGGTGGCATATTGACCGGTACACCCATCTTGTACCTTACAATGGTGGCATATTGACCGGTACACCCATCTTGTACCTTACAATGGTGGCATATTGACCGGTATCTTGTACCCATGGTCTTGTACACCCATCTTGTACCTTACAATGGTGGCATATTGACCGGTACACCCATCTTGTACCTTACAATGGTGGCATATTGACCGGTACACCCATCTTGTACCTTACAATGGTGGCATATTGACCGGTACACCCATCTTGTACCTTACAATGGTGGCATATTGACCGGTACACCCATCTTGTACCTTACAATGGTGGCATATTGACCGGTACACCCATCTTGTACCTTACAATGGTGGCATATTGACCGGTACACCCATCTTGTACCTTACAATGGTGGCATATTGACCGGTACACCCATCTTGTACCTTACAATGGTGGCATATTGACCGGTACACCCATCTTGTACCTTACAATGGTGGCATATTGACCGGTACACCCATCTTGTACCTTACAATGGTGGCATATTGACCGGTACACCCATCTTGTACCTTACAATGGTGGCATATTGACCGGTACACCCATCTTGTACCTTACAATGGTGGCATATTGACCGGTACACCCATCTTGTACCTTACAATGGTGGCATATTGACCGGTACACCCATCTTGTACCTTACAATGGTGGCATATTGACCGGTACACCCATCTTGTACCTTACAATGGTGGCATATTGACCGGTACACCCATCTTGTACCTTACAATGGTGGCATATTGACCGGTACACCCATCTTGTACCTTACAATGGTGGCATATTGACCGGTACACCCATCTTGTACCTTACAATGGTGGCATATTGACCGGTACACCCATCTTGTACCTTACAATGGTGGCATATTGACCGGTACACCCATCTTGTACCTTACAATGGTGGCATATTGACCGGTACACCCATCTTGTACCTTACAATGGTGGCATATTGACCGGTACACCCATCTTGTACCTTACAATGGTGGCATATTGACCGGTACACCCATCTTGTACCTTACAATGGTGGCATATTGACCGGTACACCCATCTTGTACCTTACAATGGTGGCATATTGACCGGTACACCCATCTTGTACCTTACAATGGTGGCATATTGACCGGTACACCCATCTTGTACCTTACAA